CACCAGCCTCCTCCTGGCTGTATCTCCTTCCCACACGCGCCCCTCCCGCGGCGTGGTTCACCTCAGTCCACACTCCTCCAAGTTCTGCAGCGGAGACTTCTGCCATCTCCGCTCCCGCCAGAAGCTCTGCATCCTTTCTAGTTCTGGCTTCGCTAGATCCAGCTCCGCTAGGTCCCTTTGTGATGCTAACAGCAAGGAGACAGGGAAACCATAAAACTCAGAAGAGGGAAAATCGTAAAGTGCAGAGCAAATGGCTCCTTCGCCAAATACCTGTATCCTAGCTGCTGCCTTTCCTCCAGGTCTCTGCTCCAGGAGGGCCTCATCAGAAGCCTTTCCCATCACTCTCCCACCCCTGCTCCCGGCCCTGCAGTCCCCTCTAACTCTAACTGACAAGGTCATTCTTTTATGTGTGGTATATTTCTAGGTCCTTGTCAGGGTTCCACCACCTGTTCCAGAATGTAAGCACCACGAGGGCGGGAAATCTGTTTGAGTCAATACTGTGTATCTGGAGCCAGACAGGTGTCTGGCACATAATAATCACTCAATAAATAGTAGCAAGCTGAATGAGACACTTACAACGCGGCCCTGCTGCAATTGCTGACATTTACAAAGATCGCTCCAAATCAAGAGAGAGAAGGTGTTTTGTTTTGATTTTCTTTTAGGGTCAGATGAAATAATGCTCTTAAAGCCTGTAACGAAGTTGCTAGAATGTAGCAAGCCCACAGAAAAGGTTAGCTATCACTGCATTATAGAAAACAGCTTAGAGACCTTCCTTTATAGGAACATGCAGCTCTTTCCCTGAGAGCACCAGATAGCTGAGTTTCCCTAGAGGTCTAATCCAGCTGGGGAAACAGGAGGTGGGGCGGGCGTGGTCTGAGCCGGCTGAAACCAGATAATGTCTGGCTGAGCCAGGAAGAGACTTTAAATAAAGGTGCTGCTGAAATACACATCCATCGACTGTCAGGAAAGCCATGACTTTAAGCCAAAGGAAGAAAATTTCTCAGAGTGACTCATCTTGCACTTTTTCAGAATGAGCATATCTTCCTTGGAAATACTAAATGTATGAGATGTGGAAACCATGCATGTGTACGTGTTTGTAATTTTAAGATAAAATTACTAATACACGTGTGTATTAGTATTCACGGCCACCGGAAACCGTGAATGTAGTGGATGCACTTCACAGGGGCTGTGGATGTAGTTCAGAGGTGGAGCACTTGCCTAGTGTGTGCCAGGCCCTGGTGTCCAACCCCCACATTTTACAAATTACCGCGTAACTAAACAGCAGCTTGTGAGGCCTATTTTTAGCACAACCTTTTCCTATCCTTAGCACTCTGTTCAATGTCCAAGTCTTTATTAATCCTTCGAGCCAAAACCACAGCTCAGAAACTGCACACTCACTGTACTACAAGGAATATTTTTTGACTATACCTAAAGCCAAACTCTCAGCTAAGCAGGGTCCGCTTGTGAATAACAGGGCACGGAAGCTCACGGGACCCCAAAGGATGGGAAAAGCCAGGAAGAAGGGTAAGTCTGATGTAAAACTAGACGAGAAACTCTCAAAAACAGTTAAATGGATAGTTCATCATAAAATAGAAACTTCTTTCCACCCTCCAATTTTTTTTGTATCACAAAGCCACAGAGAGAGTTAATGATGCAGAGAAAATGTTACCATTGATAAAAGCGTGTCCAGGGCAGGCGGAGCTCAAATTCAAGCGCAGCTTGGGCAGTTTAATGACCTAGTGAGACTCTGTCTCAACATAAACATAAAAGTAAAAATGGCGGGGAATATAGCTCAGTGTGAAAGCCCCTGGGTACAATCCTCAGTACTGGGGGCGGGTGGAGAACAGAGGATAGAAATGGTGACTTTGGAAGTTTTTAAATATTCGTATTTTGAGGGACTGAGGATTTAGCTCAGTGGCACAGCGCCTGCCTGGCAAGCGCAAGGTCGTGAGTTCGATTCCCAGTACCGGAGAAAAACCAAAAAAAAGAAAGAAAGAAATATTCGTATTTTGCATCATAAAAAGTAGATGTGTTACATTATTCTCCAAAATATATGTATATATTTTTTAATTTTACTGACTCATGATACACAAGACTGGCCATCGTTGCACTAAAGTCCAATCGCTGCACTATATTTTCCAATTCATCCGTCAGTGGTTCACGAAGTCACTTTATTTGGTTCACATCTGAATTGTTTTCTCTTCCTTTTTATTCCAAAAAAAAATAGAATTTAAAAATAGGAAAATCAAGTGGTAAGGACAAATAACAAACAGGTTAACTAATGCTTCAAGAAACCCTTGTTTTAATTTCATAAATACATACATGTGTGTTTGCACTGGGTCCAGATGTAAAATATACTTACTGTAAGCTACTGTCCAAGAACTTTGAAAGCTTTTGCACTGTTTTTCTTTGAGCGATACATACTCATTATGGAACAGTTATAAAACAGAAAAATTATAAAGATTTTTTAAAAACACTTTTTAAAGCCGGGCGTGGTGGTGCACGCCTATAGTGCCAGCACTTAGGAGGACGCTGAGGCAGGAGGATTGCTTGGAGTTTGAGGCCAGCCTGGGCTACACAGTGAGTTCAAGGCCAGCCTGAATTACACAGCAAGACCTTGCCTTTAAAAGCAAACAAAGAAACAAAAAAAACTTTTAAAAACATTCTAGGGGGCTGGGGCTTTAGTTCAGCGGCACAGCGCCTGCCTGGCAAGCCCAAGGTCGTGAGTTCGATTCCCGGTACCGGAAAAAAACCAAAAGGGGGGGGGGAAATTCTAGAGATTGGGTTTAGGGCCTCATGCATGGTAGGCAAGGGCTCTCCTATTGAGCTACACCACCAGCCAAAAAGAAAAATCTGAAATTCTCTCTAATCCCATCTCTTCCAGATAATTATTAGTATTTGTACGTTCTGGGCAGAGTATGTTTTCCCACTATGCATACACTCGTTGTGAACACACTGAATTCCTAAATCCTCTAATGAAACAACCCAGTCTACAGAGAACACTCATCTCAGGACGGTGCTCTGCCACGAGGGGAACCAGGTTGCACTCCGGTCCTTTCGGGTGCGTAGACGCCCATTCATCCCCCTGACTGCACCGGGTCATAAGCGCAGTTGACTTCCACCCGCCCCCCTGCTCACGCGGAGAGGGAATCCATCTTCCACCTTCCAGGTGAGTATCTGATTCCACCACTGACATTTCCAATAAAGACTCAAGCAAATCAGACCACATACTTCCCTGGAATTGCGCTTCCCAGTGTTAAGCGTGGTTTATTTTTAGCTGTGAGAGTGATGGAATTTGCGTTAACGGGCTGGCGAGAAGCACCAGCTCACAGCCCAGCCCAAGGTGCAGCCAACGTTCGTGTGTAACGAAGGGTGACTTTGGAAGGACAGCAAAGCCGGCGCTCGCGCTCGCGCTCTCAGGAGGAGCGGGAGCAGGTGTTCCCAGGGAGGGCGCGCTCGCTGCGGCCAAGGAGGAAGGTAACCAGGGTCTCAGATGCCCAGCGCCCCGCAGTCACCCAGCTGCTCCCGGTGGAGAGCCAGGGGCCTCTTCAGGCCAATTATGGAGTCTTGAGCAGGCTTGGGAGGTAGCACCTGTGAGCCACTGAAGACTCCCGGGGACCTCAAACTTCCATAGGCCGCAAAGGAGAGAGGGGAGGAAGGGGAAGGAG